CTGAAGTGCTGTAAAGAGACCATCACCACTGAGCTGTATGAAATATTTTGTCTTTGCTGAAGGGAAGGTGGAGTACTACAGGACATGAAGGATGCAAACATTGTCACATTGTATAAAGAGACAGGGGCGACTGCAATAACTACCCCCAGCATCTCTTTTCTCAGTGTTGTAGGGAAGCTGCTTGCCTGTGTCATGCTGAAGAGGCTCCAGGTGCTTGCAGACAGAGTCTATCCAATAAGTGATGTGGGCAGATTATATTTACCATGAAAAATAGGAGGCCATGGATTACTGCAAATACAGCAGGTAGTAGAGGAGGGAAAAAGAAGCCTAAATGATTATATCAGTACATGGAGAGAAAAATTACTTAAGTCAGTGAAAATAGAGAATATTTTTAAAGTGACAGAAACAAAGGATCAATATAAGAAACAACAATTTGAAAATAAATTAAACAGCTGGAAAAATAAACCATAGAAATCACCTGAGAAATATTGGTGGAAAGCATGATCATAATTCAATATGGGCATGGATAAAACTGGGGTACCCTTAAGAAAGAAACTAAAGGCTTGATTTTTGCTGCACAAGGACAAGCACTCCAAACCAATGTGATGAAAGCTAAGATCCAAGGAGTTAGTGCTAAGAGCAAATGTCAACTCTGCCAAGAAAAAGACGAAACTGTGTCACACCTCATCTGTGAATGTCCAAAGATTGCACAAACAAATTACAAAATTAGACATGACAAAATTAGTGCACTGGTCTTTATGCAAAAATATATAACTTACCAGCCTCCAAAAACCTGTGGGAACATCAGGTAGAGAAAGAAAATGAGGAAGTCAAGATCTTGTGAGATTTCTGAATCCAAATGGACAGACACCTTGAACATAACAAACCAGACATAGTAGTAATAGAATGAAAAAATGTCTGGATCACTGACATTGCAATTCCAGGGGATGAAAAATGTGAGCTTCTAAAAGTACTAGCTGGTCTCCCTACTTGGATGAGATGTATTGTGTTTTTATTTAAATAATTTCCATATGTGCACCTTTGGAATTATATTAGCATATAGGCATTTTATGGAAACGTGGACATTCTTTTAACTTCTTTTTCAATGAGCATTCCTTCATTTTTGGCAATATGTAAGTGGTCTCCCTACGGGGAATGAGAAAAGTTACTTTTTGGAATTCCCAGCCAGCATCACCTCTGGTGTGAATTCTGGGAGAAAAATGACTCCACCCTCAAACTTCTGGCCCTCATAAGAAGCTAAACTGACAAGAATAGAGTCTTACAGTATGGGCACTCCTCACCTAACAACCTTCCTGTTTAACAACCACTCGGATTTATGACCCTTGTAAATCTGTATTTGAGGCTTCCCCATGCCCCTTCTCAACAGCATGCTCACTTATTGACCACTTAATGACCTAGTCAGCTATCCTGTTTCTCGAAAATAAGACCTAACCTGAAAATAAGCCCTAGTATGATTTTTCAGGATGCTTGTAATATAAGCACTACCCCAAAAATAAGCCCCAGTTAAGTGAAACCTGCCCTCTATCCTTGCGCAGCAACCAGAAGAAGATGACATGACTGTATTTGAATCAATGCAGATTGTTCTACATGAAGAAATAAAACATCCCCTGAAAACAAGCCCTTATGTCTTTTTAAGAGCAAAAATTGATACAAGACCCTGCGTTATTTTCGGGGAAACACGGTAGTTGTAAGAACGGAACCTTAAGTGACGACTGCCTGTACTTATTCTACTAAACTGCCTTTCTAGCTCATGTATCACTCTCTTAGTATGCATCAAACCACCAGATGAGTCAAAGGTGCAGTTCTAGCTAGAGCACATCTATCATCTGAGCCAAAAGATTTGCCCGTGTATTTCTGCAGTTATTTTGGGTATTGTGCAAAATCTTTTAAGAACGCATGGTTAA